AGAATGAAATTCGGTACACACATAGCCATACACAAGGTCTATAAATAGCATATGCCGAATAAAGTTTCTCTCCTTGTTTGTGACGTCACAATGTGAAAATGACGTCACTATTTAGGTCACTTGTGACGAAAAATGGTTGTCTCAGTCGAACTCGTTCAACAAACGACTGTACAATTTATTGTAATATCTTAGAAATCCCTCTACAGTATCATATAATAATATGTACACAGTTTATTGAGATAAATGAGTTCCTATAAATTCAATTAATGATTGGATTAATCGTTTTAGTGAAGGAAGGCTGATGGTAAAAAATGACACTTGTCATCTTGCCCAGTGAAAGCAAGTTTGAAAAGATATGTATTTTTAATTAAGCGATTTGCTATCAAAGACCTCCAATTAGCACTTTGAAAAATAGTTGAATATTTGAACAATGATATAAGTATTAAATACCTAAGATATCGTTTACTTTAGATTTTAAACATATTAGATATGATAAAAAGGATGCACCCATTCTCTATCCACCTTGAATAAAGGTCTCTCCTGAGACAGAAGATTTGTGTTTTAATGGTCGCCATGCTTATTTTTGGAAAGAATGTTATTATCCTCCCATTCTGTTGCCGAGATAGGACCATTTCTGACAAATTAACTGTTCATGTCATAAAAATTAACTCACATGGAAAGAAATATAAAACTCGGAAAAATCTTTTAACTTTTGTGACAGAATGCTACCGAGGGGGTCACGTGACCGCCAATATCACGTGATTCGCGCATGCGCAGAACGATGGTTGATGTGCATTAAAATCGGGGAGGATTAATTTAAAATATAATCAACATTAAAACCAAATATTGTTTCTTGTATGGAAACAATGTATTCTTGTATGGAAGTTATTCAATTAGTTTGCGAACTTTTTGATCACCCCTCGTATATATAGTTATGATGAGCAAGAGTGCTCCTTCCGAAAATTGTGAATTTTATGGCCCCAGGGTTAGGGGTTATGGTTTTAGGGCGGGGCTCTATCGATTATAAAGTGAAAAAAAAACATTTATTCTTTACAATATATTATTTCTTAATTAACTTAATTAACTTAATTAATTCTTTGAAAATCGTCTTCTCTGCTCCTGGGTATTAAATAAACTAAGTACATAGTTATGATTAGCAAGAGTCCCTCTTCCAAGATTGTGAATTTTAAAACCTCAGGGTTAGAGGTTCTGGTGTTAGGGCGGGGATCTATTGATTATATTGTGAAAGTACATTAATTCTTTAAAAATCTTCTCTGCTCCTGGGTATTAAATAAACTTACTAAGTACAACTACATGTACAAAGTTATGATGAACAAGAGTGCCTCTTCCAAAATTATGAATTTTATGCCCCCAGGGTCAGAGGGTCTGGTGTTAGGGCGGAGCTCTTTTTATTACTATAGTGAAAATACATTAATTCTTTGAAAATCTTCTTCTCTGCTCCTGGGTATTAATTAAACAAACTTAGTATATATTTGTAATGAGCAAGAGTACCTCAATTAAATTTGTGAATTTCATGTCCCCTGGGTAAGGGGTTTGTCATTTGGTGTAAGGGGGGTCTTTTAATTATATAGTGAAAATATATTACTTATTTGAAAATATTTTTCTTTGCTCCTGGGTATTATGCGAATGATCTAAGTATATATATATATATATATATATATATATATATATATATATATATATATATATATATATATATATAGGACTCCAAAGTGCGATGGGACTCCAAAGTCCGATGGTCTGCGCCAAACCCCGATGGTTTGACGCGCTTAAGTCCGATGGTGGGGAAAACATTTAACGTTTATGACGTCATAGTACCACTGCTCCAAACATCAATGCCGTAATATGCCAAGGTCTTAAAAACAAGTATAAATTAATTATAAATTGCGAAAACTAACCCTTTATCTCTCAGATAGGTGCGATACTAACCCTAAACGCTCGAAAAGTGTGCATCAACTATAACCTAGGTATCTTTAGTGGATGAGAGACTATTCCTTACTCAACTAGTGTGCGAGGACTAACCCTAAATCTGTCGGGTTTTACAATGCAAGGACAAACCCTAATCAACCGAGTGGTGTGCGAGGGCTAATCCTAATGTATCTGGAAGGTGCAAGCAATAAGCAAAAACCAATAAAATTGTATTCGAGGACGAATTATGAAATGATGGCTTTTGAATGCGGGGCAACAGCGTCAGGATTGACGTCAGATTATTGTGACGTCATAAACGTTGTTTGTTCCTCCGCACCATCGGACCTTGGCGTGTCAGACCATCGCACTTTAGCGTCGCGCGTGTCATAGGAAACGAGCCATCGGACTTTGGCGTGACCGGACTTTGGCGTCCGTAACGATAGCAAACCGTCGGGGTTTGGTGCAGACCATCGGGGTTTGGCGAGACCATCGGACCTTGGAGTCTTACATATATATATAGAAAGCACAAAGAAATTCACTTTTACATGGATACCCACTTCCGCCCCAGCCCGGGGTTGAACTCTCGACCTTCGGAATCTGTCTCCTAGCAGTGCAGGAACAGCGCGCTAGACCGCTCGGCTATCTAGGCAAGTCAAAAAACTTGCTTTCGATGCCGATTGAATTCTCGCGGCGCTGCCCTACACTACACGGTCATTGAGAATAGAAGTGAGAATTCCATCGGCATCGAAAGCAAGTTTTTTGACTTGCCTAGATAGCCTAGCGATCTAGCGCGCTGTTCCTGCACTGCTAGGAGAAAGATTCCGAAGGTCGAGAGTTCAACCCCGGGCTGGGGCGGAAGTGGGTATCCATGTAAAAGTGAATTTCTTTGTGCATTCTATATTAGTATTTCTTCACTTAGGGCAGTTATGTTATATATATATATATATATATATATATATATATATATATATATATATATATATATATATGATGAAGAAAAGAGCATTTGGTAAAATGGTTATTTTCACGACCTTGGGTCAGGGGTATCGGGGGAGGGGGGGTTACATAGTCTGAAAATAAATTAATGCTTATAAATCTGCTCTTTGGTTTTAATCAACCATTTATGATGAAATAAAATTTATGATAAAATTTCCACAATTTTGAAATATGTGGCCCCAGCGTCAGTGGTTCCTGTTGGGTGGGGTGCACAACTGATTATAAAGTGGAAGTGCATTTTTTCTTCGTTATTCTGATCTACCTCTGGGTATTAAGTAACTAGAGTAAGTATGCTAAGTGTATAATTATGATAAGCAATGGTGCCTCTTTCAAAATTGTGAATTTCATGGCCTCTGGTTTAAACACAAACCAAATTCAATTGTTGGAAAGTTGTTTCATGATACTCAGGTGCCTATCAGGCCCATGGGCCTCTTGTTTTTATAAATATGTTTTTCAATAAAAAAAAAAAAATCTACTCAGCCCTTTTTTTTTTTTACATATTTTATTAGGTATTCATGTGATGCATTCATTTAAAGCAACTTTTTTTTTTTTTACAAAAAGCAACTAATTTGGATGTGAATAATTTTTTAAGAGCTAATGTCAACCTTTTAATGCTGAAACCGTTGTTTAAAAAGGTTGACTTATGGATCTATAAAATACAAAGTTGATGTGGCATTCCTCCTTAAGTTTTTTAAAGGTATTCATTTGTTGCAATAATCATGTGCGGGATTTGAAATTGCATCCACTGAAATTTTGCTCTTTCGTGACTTTAAATGGGAGTTCAAATATGTTGTTTCATTCCAAATCGCCAAAAATAAACCATCATTTTCCCAGTCTTGTTTTAACTGACTTCTTTTCTCTACTATATTATTGTGTATGTGTGTGTTTGTGATTTTAGCTTGCATAAAACCATACCATTGCGAAAGGGTTCGCTGCACAACAAGAGAAAATTACTATTGCACAAAGTGTGAAGAAGAGAATAATACAGCACACTTATCAATTTATTACCATTCCGACGATCACCAGACATGTTATGGTAAGTTGTAAACAAAATCTTAGTATTAATTAGGAGAAAATTGATAAATCCATCATAATCTTTAATTAAAAAATCTAAAGCTTAAGTACGAAAGCCCATTGGCTCATTTTCGTAAGTTAAAAAAAATAAAATTTGTGCGTTATAGCGCGAAACTTTCGCGAATAAACGCGTAACTTTCGCGTTATAACGCGAAAATTTTGTGAATAAACGCGTAACTTTCGCGTTATGACGCGGAACTTTCGCGATATAACGCGTAACTTTCGCATTATAACGCGTACCTTTCGCGAATAAATGCAAAACTTTCGCGTTATTTCGCGAAATTATATGCATATAGAAATGTTTTTCAGGAACCTTGATCTTCAATTACAGGTAAGAACATTAATGTTGACAGGAACTTATATGAATTTATTTATAAAATACCACTTTCTCAGAAGATGTCCTTGAGAAATGATGCGAGAATAGGATAGATTAGTCATAACAATTTTTTTATTTCAGAACCTTAACAATAAATAAAATGCATTTTACTTTATTGTACATGCTTATCACTTGTTAAATTCACGAATTTTTTTAGGCTGATTATTTTATTTTAGGAAAATCTTCACGACCATTTCTCAAGCTGTATTTTAGTAACATTTTTAAGTAACATTTACTACAACTGTACCACTAATAAATTAAGCAATCGATCATTCTGGACCAAAAAATTATACCTTGTAGAAAAAAAAAATTAAAAGTGAGTGAACAATGTATCATTTCATGAGTTAACGTGCCATATGATGCTTTTTAAGTAATAAATATACAATGTAAATGGATATTGTTAATTACAAATTTATCGAGGAGGAGGGGTCTACTTTTCTAAATTTTTCGTCAATATTTATATATCCGAGGGGTTATTGAAAATTTTAGTTTTTAGTTTTTACACTTTGAATTAATTGTCAATGTTTTGGTAAGCAATGGAATGACGACGTGGTGCAACTTCAAAATAACGATGTCGTATCTCTACAGTGAATCTAATGAAAGACAAATGAAATTTGTTATCTAATTTTTACCCATGTGTTGGGACACGATTGACATATTTACCTTATTTATCCGAGATTTTAATCTTAACGCCTGAAAGGGTTGATTTTCCCCGAAATTCACAATCATGAAGTTTAACTTTTGAAAAACTTGCATTAACTTTAAATGGTTTAAACAGCGTTAAGAAAGACAAATTATGACGGTAATATGCATTCAAAAGCAACTTAAAAACTTAAATTTGTAGCTTTTGGGGTTCCAAGATCGAAATAGTCTTTTGTTTTTCATTGTTATTAATAAACTTTTCACAAAATCAGAAGAAAGTTACGTTTATGCAAATGTCTAGGTTAAACAGCAAAGTTTCGCGTTATAACTTGAAAGTTATGCTTTTATATCGCAAAAGTTACGCGTTTATTCGCAAAAGTTACGCTTATAACGCGAAAGTTACTCATTAGAACGTGAAAGTTACAAGATTATTCGCGAAAGTTTCGCGTTATAACGCAAAAGTTACGCGTTTATTCGCAAAAGTTTCGCGTTATAACTCGAAAGTTACGCGTATATTTGCGTAAGTTTCGCGTTATGACGCGAAAAAAAATTATTTTAACCTACCAAAATGAGCTCATCTGGCTTTAGTACTTAATTAAGTACATGCTTTATCGATTTTAACAAATAGACACAAGTTTGCAATATCGTAATATTGCTATTAGTGAAGAATTGTTTGGGACGTGGTTTAGTATTTATGATGGGTTGCTTCAACACATTCATCAGGTACGGATCATCAATGTCGTTCCTAAACTCAAGTTCAAACTTTAAAAAAAAGAAATTCCTTCGCTTCCATTTTAGTCCCGGATGATTTTCACGGACACATTGTTTTTCGGAGTCGCAAAGGTTTAGGTGTAAAAATGAATATTTACATTAATGTCTTTCCGTATATAAAACCGTTCACGGTAGCTTAGTCGGTAAGGCGCTCACTCCGTGATCGGGAGGTCGTGAATTCGTAACTCGGCCGCGACAGACCTCAGTCGATATAAAATGGGTAGCAACTGTTCCTTCGCCATGCGCTCGGCACTTTGAAGTGAAAGTTGCGGGTCCGTCGGATGAGACCTTAAAAACCGAAGCCCCGTGTCAGCGGCAGGTGTTGGCACAATAAAGATCCCTCACTGCTCAATGGCCCTGATTGCCGAGTAAAGGTCAAAATTGGAAACCCTTCACCGGCATACGGTGACGTCTCCATATGAGTGAAGAATTCTTGAGAGGGACGTTAAACAATATACAATCAATCAATAAAAACATATAACAATAATAAAAATTAAAATTCAATTTTCAATGACATGCAGTTGGTCACATGATCCGACTTCCTTTCATATGGATAACAAACTGCACGAGCCATTTGGAAATTTCAAATTGTGACGTCGCATGACGTCGTAGTAACGTGAAGTTGCATTTCAAAATCAAAGTCTAAATAATGCTTATATTTATTTGTAACATATGAATGACAATGTAAAATATTAATGATAGAAACAAAATATCATTTTTTAGATTTCCATTGGAGTATGACATGACATACTTTGAAATCGGTGCGTGATCAAATCTAATATATTTACATTCAGTGTAATTTTCTTTATGAAATCCAATAGAAATCCACGACGTTCAAATTTCTATAACACACGCGAAACCTTATCAAACGCGGTAGAATACACAGTAGGAACTACATGCAATTTCAATATTTAGGAAAACCAAAATGTATATTGTTTTCACTCAATTTCATTTAAAAAAAAGCTACCCTTAAAATTAACATAAAATACAACAAATGTGCATTTAAAATGAAATTATCATTTTTTTCCTCGCAATGTTTATTTGCGTTATTAAACTTTCCAATGTCACAAACGGCTTTCCAGCGTCACGAAAGGCTATTACATTATAAAGCACAACAATGCCGAAGGCGCTAAATTCACATTAAACATGAACGAAATAAAAAACTATGATAAAGGAATATTAGAGAATGTAAATATAAGCATTGAATTCATATTTTGGGATGTCTTCGGTCCTATAACACACCTGGCCGTGCCGACAAAATATGAATTCAATGCTTAAATATAACGTCCTTCGAATTTGAAAGAATTTGATCACGTGACCGACTTCATGTCATACCCCAATGAAACTCTTAAAATGATATCTTATTTCTTAAATAACGCCCTATGGGCGGTGTAGAATTTGATCACATGACCGACTTCATGTCTTATCCCAATGAAAACCTAAAAATGATATCTTATTTCTTATATAACGGTCATACTTTGTTCCTAATGCACGAATAATCCGATATTTCTAAGCATTGGGGCATTTCGAAGATGTTATACAATAATATTATATAACTTTGTGAAATCCGGTAATCTGATTGGTCAATACGAAGTACTTATTTTTTAATAACGACCGCTGAAAGCGAATAATGACTCGCACGAGCTGCCTCGTTTTCACTTTCGCTTTAGACAAACATGGAAGTTCGCAAGTTGTAGGTGAGGAAAATTTAAAAGATATAGTGAAGAATTCTCTGAGACTGATAATTCAAAACAATTATAAGGATATCTATGAATATTTTTCGGGAATAATTATCACATACCATTTCATGGTTGAGTTCGACCTTTCCACTCGGCGAGCAGAGTTTTGACGCTGTTTACGCGATTACGAAGACTAAAGAAAATAAAGACAAGCATGCCATGTAAGATCGTATCTTTTCTTAGAAGACATGGGTATTTATGTTTTGTCAGTGCAGTTCCCCTGCAAGTGTAAACGAGAGTGATTTTCAATCTGGGGGAGGGGGCACTCTGTGTTATTCGGAGATAGATATCTTGCGTCATTATTATGATATGGTTAAAATTTAATATTCAATAAATTCTGAAACATTTACATTCAACTGATTTATGGTTAATACTATCTCTATAAATAACAGGATTATATACATTGCACTGATGAATTTGGGAAATAAATATTTATATAATATAATAAATATGGACTCAATGCACGGTCAATATGCATTAATAATGACCCAAGATGACAGATATTGACCTCAGATACATGAAGTATATCGACCTCGGGCTGGCGCCCTCGGTCGATATACTACATGTATCTTCGGTCAATATCTGTCATCCTGGGTCATTATAAATGCATATTGACCTACATTGAGTCCATATTTGTATAATAATGCTCCGCCAAAGGAATTTAAACAATTTCGATATTTGTCCGATTAATTTCACCTTAAAAGTCAATGGGCAGTGCATGTTTTTTGAAAGATATTGTTTCAGTAAAAATGGTATGAATTTCAAACACACCATCTCTTGGTTAAAATATGCATTAACTCCCTCTACAATGAAATAAGAAATAATTACGGAATGTTTTTAAGTCTTGTGTGAGTTATATAAGAAATAGGATATCATTTTTAGAGTTTCATTGGGATATGACATGAAGTCGGTCACGTGATCAAATTCTATAACGCCCGAAGGGCGTTATAGTATATTTGATCACGTACCGACTTCATGTCTTATCCTAATGACACTCTAAAATATGATATTTTAGTTCTTATATTCATATTTTCAATTTTTATTCGTGTGACAAGGAAAAATAGGCACCATTAAGACTTTGTTATGGAAATGCAACATAACGTATCTACGACATCATGTGACGTCGCAATCTGAACTTTCCAAATGGCACGTACAGTTTGCTTTCCATATACAAGGAAATCTGATCATGTGACCAACTGCATGTCATTGAAAATTGAATTTCAATTCTGTTAGTATTGTTATATAAGGAATTTAAATACTGGTGTGTGAATCACACAGACTTGTCTCGTAGGCATATTTCATGAAGCGCGCTAGCGCGCTTCATGAAAATATGTCTATGTGCATGTCTGTGTGATTCAGACACCAATAATTCACACTTAATTTAAAAACATTTCTTATATTAAAATTTTACATGTTTGAAAGCAACTAAAATATACTAAATATTTGAATTTCTCGCTGTCCTATATCGTTGCATTTATACTAACGTCGCTGCAACCTTATTGTGACGTCATGTTAACGCACGTTTCTCCATGTATATTTCTACGCGTGAGTATACACGAAAATGGTATTCAATTCAATTTCACAGTTGGCTTTGTAGAAACACACAGCAAATGTAAATACAATGATTTTTTTCCACGGACGTTTTGAAAAATTAATAAAATCTTCTTCTTTAATTTCATCAAGGGCAGACAACTCTTCAAAAAATTTTAAGGTGCAAAATGACCGGCTTCTTACATATAATCAGTTATGTCAATTTGGTTCATTTTATTTTTATCTCTATCTAGTGTAACAGTAAAGGAGAAAATGTATGGCTCTACCAGGAATCGAACCCTGGACACCTGTATCTCCAGTCAGGTGCTCTACCAATTGAACTATCCAGGCCGATATCCACGGCCCAAATCATGACATTCCTACCTCCTCAAAATGTCTTCGCACTCGAAGACACAACCCAAATTCTTATTACCCCCTGGTAGGATTTTCATCTGCAATTCCAGGGGTGGTCAACGGCACCTAATCTGTAACAGGAGATGAGAAAATGCAGCGAACCAGACAGAGATTCGAACCTGGCCGGCCAGGTGCCAACTGAGCTATCTGGCCACAGGTGATCGAACCCGGCTGACCCGCCACATTCCTCCCTACTTAAAGGTCTTTGGCCCTCCAAAGACCCCAACCCAGGCTCATTCCTGGCAGGTCTCTCACCTGTCAGATCCTGGTCATGGTCCCAAATCTGTAACAGAAAAGGAGAAAATGTATGGCTGGACCGGGAATCAAACCTGGGACCCCTGTATCTCCAGTCAGGTGCTCTACCAACTAAGCTATCCAGGCTTATATCCACGGCCCAAATCAATACACCAGCAATGCATTTTAACTAGTTGAAAATTATTCATAATTGTCAAAACGCCTTGATTATAGAATGAATAGCCGGTAAGTTAATTATAAATTTTCCAATCAATTGAATTTAACAGATAAAGTGGGAAAATACTCCATGCATTATTCTTAGCCTATCAATAGCAAAAAATGACAGTCAATATTTTTGGGGTGGACTAATATTCAATTATCGACTGTTCGTCTATATAGAGTTTTATAGTGAGAATATCTTTCTGAATTTCACGTATATGGTTGATTAATTGTATATTGTTTATCGTCCCTAATTCTTTTAAACTGACATTTTTACTAAACACAAGGCAATGATAGATACCATTGAATGCACAAAGGAAAATGATGGAAGAAAGGGGCTTATTGTCACGTTTATAATTGGTTTCAGCAGCAGATATGATTATTGAAGACGAACATTGAAATTGTGAATTTTAGTGACATTCTTTATATTTCAGCAACATGCTCATGGAAACAGAATTGGTGTTGGCCTGGTGAATGTAATAAGAATCTGGCAAAAAACTGTATTTGTAAGGATGGCTTTTCTCTATCAACTACAAACTCAAACAAAGTCTGTCAATGTAAGTCAAAATTATTTGATATACATGTATATGCTTTTTATATAGTAGAAAAATTCATTGTACTTCTTAATAACATAAAGCGATATTGTTTGGGAAAACATAACAGGAAAAAAATTAACTTACTTAGATGAAATTTGAAGAGGGAATATGTTAACAAATATCGTTATTTTTTAGTACGAAATATTTTTGCTGAATTCCGACATGATTTAGCTTTTTTCCCCTTTTTGATTCATAATTTTCAGTGAACGTAATTCCGACGCTGCTAACCTGTCGTTTGGGGATCGAAAGCATTGGAGGGGAAGTTCGAAATTCATCTTTAAAAGGACCATGTTTAGATGAAACATATAACTATATGAAGTTCCTGCCATCTCTTGCATCCTTCACTTTTGAATTTAGTATCTCAATACCCAAGTCTCCACCAAAGCCAATACATATTTTCGAGTCTGGCTTTGGAATTGTAAACACGACGGTTACCTTATTTAAGAGCGACACTCATGGTATATTTTAGCTATGTTTGTTATTGGTTTCTGAATATTGGAATTTTATTTCAATTTTGAATTGTTGAAATCCTGATTTTTGTCCTATCAAACCAATAAATGTGAAGATGATTGATTTGTCTTTCTCCCAAAGCGTATTTTCCTATTACAGGAAATACTATCGAACGTCAAACGTTAAATCCTAAGGAACAAAAGAGCTGTGATAGAAACAATTTCAGTGATATTTATCCGATACCAGAAATTCCTATCACTTGTTTGATGACAATCAACACACCTTGGAATTTCTCGGACGGTGAACAGTAAGTGCTGAAAACTTTCTTGTGCATATAAAAAAGATGTCATTATTATTTCTTTCATTACTTTTGCTTAATGTAACATCTTAAAAATTAATGAAATCAACACCATTACGAGAATTCTTAATTCATCAAGTACACAATGAATGCATTCCCCTGTAAAGATCTTTTTTAAAAGAATCTTCATATATGTACAAGTTAGAAATATCGATGTCAAACACTCTGCGACTGATAATGGTAAAGTAAGTTTCCATCATAGATATTACACTTGTCCTTAGACGAAATTTCATAATGTTTAACACTGGCCATGGCTTTTTGAACTCTATAAACTGGAGTTTACCTATTTTACAAAGATTTTCTTTTGACAAGAGTTTTCTATGGAAAACCTAAATTTTATATATATATATATATATATATATATATATATATATATATATATATATATATATATATATATATATATATATATATATATATATACTGAAAGGATAAAGAAACGCATATTAAACTTTTGAATTGAATTAAAACCATTACTGTATAGGGGATTAATTTCACAGGTTGTAATTATACCCGCACTTTCTAAAGAAAGTTCGGGTATATTGTTGTTACTCATGTCCGTCCGTCCGTCCGTCCGTCCGTCCGTCCGTCCGTCTGTCACACTTTTCTTCCCTGAACTCCTCCTACATTTTACACAGTAGCTTAATCATCTTTTAAGAGATGGTTGGTGGTGTCATGTAGATGTGCAGTAAGGTTTCGGAATTTTGATTTTGCCCCGGGGGGTCAAATGGGGGTCGAAAAATGACGTTTTTTGTGCAAAAAGACCCTTCTTCCCTGAACTCCTAATACATTTTACTAAGCAGCCAAATCACCTTTTGGGGGATGATTGGTGGTGTCATGTAGATGTGCAGTAAGGTTTCGGAATTTTGATTTTGCCCCGGGGGATCAAATGGGCGTCGAAAAATGACGTTTTTTATGCAAAAAGCCCCATCTTCCCTGAACTCCTCTTACATTTTACTTAGCAGCCTAATCATCTTCTGGGGGATGATTAGTGGTGTCATGTAGATGTGCAGTAAGGTTTCGGAATTTTGATTTTGCCCCGGGGGGTCAAATGGGGGTCGAAAAATGACGTTTTTTGTGCAAAAAGTCCCGTCTTCCCTGAACTCCTTCTACATTTTACTCAGCAGCCAAATCACCTTTTGGGGGATGATTGGTGGTGTCATGTAGATGTGCAGTAAGGTTTCGGAATTTTGATTTTGCCCCGGGGGATCAAATGGGGGTCGAAAAATGACGTTTTTTATGCAAAAAGCCCCATCTTCCCTGAACTCCTTCTACATTTTACTTAGCAGCCTAATCATCTTCTGGGGGATGATTAGTGGTGTCATGTAGATGTGCAGTAAGGTTTCGGAATTTTGATTTTGCCCCGGGGGGTCAAATGGGGGTCGAAAATGACGTTTTTTGTGCAAAAAGTCCCGTCTTCCCTGAACTCCTTCTACATTTACTCAGCAGCCTAATCACCTTTTGGGGGATGATTGGTGGTGTCATGTTGATGTGCAGTAAGGTTTGGGAATTTTGATTTTTCCCCGGGGGGTCAAATGGGGGTCGAAAAATGACGTTTTTTATGCAAAAAGCCCCATTTTCCCTGAACTCCTCTTACATTTTACTTAGCAGCCTAATCATCTTTTGTGGGATGATTAGTGGTGTCATGTAGATGTGCAGTAAGGTTTCGGAATTTTGTTTTTGCCCCGGGGGGTCAAATGGGGGTCGAAAAATGACGTTTTTTGTGCAAAAAGTCCCTTCTTCCCTGAACTCCTTCTACATTTTACTCAGCAGCCAAATCACCTTTTGGGGGATGGTTGGTGGTGTCATGTAGATGTGCAGTAAGGTTTCGGAATTTTAATTTTGCCCCGGGGGGTCAAATGGGGGTCGAAAAATGACGTTTTTTATGTAAAAAGCCCCATCTTCCCTGAACTCCTCTTACATTTTACTTAGCAGCCTAATCATCTTTTGTGGGATGATAAGTGGTGACATGTAGATGTGCAGTAAGGTTTCGGAATTTTGATTTTGCCCCAGGGGGTCAAATGGGGGTCGAAAATGACGTTTTTTGTGCAAAAAGTCCCGTCTTCCCTGAACTCCTTCTACATTTTACTCAGCAGCCTAATCACCTTTCGGGGGATGGTTGGTGGTGTCATGTAGATGTGCAGTAAGGTTTCGGAATTTTGATTTTGCCCCGGGGGATCAAATGGGGGTCGAAAAATGACGTTTTTTACGCAAAAAGCCCCATCTTCCCTGAACTCCTCTTACATTTTACTTAGCAGCCTAATCATCTTTTGGGGGATGATTAGTGGTGTCATGTAGATGTGCAGTAAGGTTTCGGAATTTTGATTTTGCCCCAGGGGGTCAAATGGGGGTCGAAAAATAACGTTTTTTATACAAAAAGCCCTGTTTTCCCTGAACTTCTCTTACATTTTACTCAGCAGCCTAATCATCTTTAAGAAGATGGTTGGTGGGGTCATGTAGATGTGCAGTAAGGTTTCGGAATTTTGATTTTGCCCCGGGGGTCAAATGGGGGTCGAAAATTGATGTTTTTTATGCTAAAAGACCTGTCTTCTCTGAACTCCTCTTTCATTTTACTCAGCAGCTTAATCACCTTTTGGGAGATGGTTGGTGGTGTCATGTACATGTGCAGTAAGGTTTCGGAATTAAGATTTTGCCCCAGGGGATCAAATGGGGGTCGAAAAATAACGTTTTTCATACAAAGAGCCCTGTTTTCCCTGAACTCCTCTTACATTTTACTCAGCAGCCTAATCATCTTTTGGGGGATGGTTGGTGGGGTCATGTAGATGTGCAGTAAGGTTTTGGAATTTAGATTTTGCCCCGGGGGGTCAAATGTGGGTCGAAAAATGACGTTTTTTGTGCAAAAAGCCCTGTCTTCCTTGAAGTCTTCCTTAAATGTTACTCAGAAGTCTAATCATCTTTTAGGAGAGTTAAATATTTTGAAAATTATGTAAAACATCAACGTCAAGGGGTAACAAGATGTGTTTGTAAAACACTATGCGCCCGGCGTCAACAAAGTTCGAAAAAGCTATTTTAGCATATAGGTCACAGTCAAGGTCACAAGGTCATTGACCTTGATGTTGTTTGTAAGAACTTAATTAGTGGGGTATGCATACTAAATATGAAGTCCCTATCTCCTATGGTTCAAAAGTTATGGCAAAACGTGGAAAAAGCTATTTTTATCATATAGGTCACAGTTAAGGTCACATGGTCATTGACCTTGGTGTTGTTTGAAAGAACTTTATAAGTGGAGTATGCATACTAAATATGAAGTCCCTATCTCCTAAGGTTCAAAGGTTATGGCAAAAAGTGGAAAAAGCTATTTTAAGCATATAGGTCACAGTCAAGGTCACAAGGTCATTGGCCTTGGAGTTGTTTGAAAGAACCTTTTTAGTGGAGTATGGATACCAAATATGAAGTCCCTATCTCTTATGGTTCAAAAGTTATGGCAAAAAGTGGAAAAAGCTATTTTTAGCATATAGGTCACAGTTAAGGTCACATGGTCATTGACCTTGGTGTCATTTGAAAGAACTTTATTAGAGGAGTATGCATACTAATTATGAAGTCTCTATTTCTTATGGTTCAAAAGTTATGACAAACAGTTGAAAAACCTATTTTTAGCATATAGGTCATAGTCAAGGTCACAAGGTCATTGACCTTGATGTCATTTGAAAGAACTTTATTAGAGGAGTATGCATACCAAATATGAAGTCTCTATCTCTTACGGTTCAAAAGTTTTGGCCAAGGTTAAAGTTGACAACAGACAAACAGATAAACAGACAAACAGACAGGACAAAAACAATATGCGCCTTGAAAAAATTCGGGCGCATAAGAAAACATCGCATGCTGGGAAACACCTTGAATTCTTATGAGTAATTTATGTACATGTCAAATGTGAGAGTCATATCTCATCTCAATCAAAAGTTATAAGCAAATGCAACATTTTTGAAAAGTAGGTTAGGCTTGATCACTTCAAGGTCAAGGTCACAGTGTTAAAGTCATGATTTATTTGGTCTTATCGCAGGTAATAATATACATGCATTATGATATGAATGCCCTAACTTTTCTCTTTCAAAATGATGAATTTATAACCATTTTATTTTTTTTGCAAGTTGGTCAAACTTCTAGGTCACATGTAAAAAAAAAAACCATGCCATTCTCACAGGTAAATATACTAAATTACTAATACATAAGTTTAATATGAATGTCTCTTCTCATTCACTAGATATGACCGTGATAACCAAGGTTAAATTTATTGAGACAGATGGACTGAGTCTGACATACAAATGTACATATTTCTATATGAATTGGGTAAAATTGGCCCAGTGGTTCTAGAGAAGTTAAAAATGTAAAAAGTTTTCAGACAAACAGATGGACAACACGTCACGACAGACATTATATGCAAAGGAAACCAAAAAAGCTCAAATGAGTGTTTTGAAAGGGTTACAATATGGTTGGAGTATTTGAAAAGCTGTTTTTTTTT